CGTCACTTCGTCGCTATCTGCGCCCCAGGTGTGTGAGAGTATCGCGTAAGGGGGTATGTCGCCATCGTCGAAGTTATGGGTGCTGAGCATTCCGCTTTCGCTATATTGCAAGAGCCGCATAGGTTCGTGTAGGTGTACAACAGGTATGCGTGATAAGAACGGGACTCAAAGGCTAGAATTAATAGTCTGGTCATGCGGGCACTTGCATGTAAAGAAAGTAACGAGCAGGACCCTGTGATGCGTCCAGATATCGCGAGTTGAGGCTGCTAGCTTTCGTTGTATTTTTTGGCTTGGTGGTGAAATCTGTTTAAAACCCCAGGCGGGGTAAAGTGTGGCTTCATGCATGCGACGTGCACTGCATAGAAAGCTGCGTATGAGGTAAGGCCCTTGGCGCTGTTGGCAGGGGTCCAAGCACTACTACATAAAGCGCTTAAGATCTGTCCATTACGATGCAGGACAAATGGAAAACCAGTCTCGTGAATACAACGCTTGTGAGCAACACATATGTTTAAATTCGATTTGAGTCTCCCCTTTTGTCCAGCCTATCGAACGCCATGAGACTCCATCATATAGAGCTAGAGAAAGCGGTCTAGCGCATTCTAGCTACGTACAGGCGCTCTCCATGCAGATACCGGCGCATGCGCTAGCTCAGGCGCACCGATCCGTTCCGCTATTACTTTGGCTCTTGGCGAGGGCGGGACCGTCGATGCTTCTACTAGTAGCGTGTTGCTCTTGCGTTTGCGCCCGCGCCCGCGCTTTGGCTTGCTTGCCAGGACTTTGCTCCTTCGCACCACGCCTTGCTTTGGCCCCTTCAAAGTCTTCAAAACTCATTATCTTAGCCTTTTCTACAACTACTGGCTTTATCGGCTAGCGGGTTTTGGCCTCTCGGTTTGATCCGAAGGAGGAAATGATTACAATCTTCAAGGAGGGCCTGTTCGGCGAACAATACTTTAGCGGCGCTTGCCAGCTTCTGTATGCGTCTGCTCGAACACGCGCTTGAACCACTCTGAGCTAATCTCAGAGTCTTTATACCCGTTTTCTAAGTACGCGTAATGCCATCTAGGGTTTTTTTTTCGTAGTCCAGTTGCTGCGATAACTCGAAGCCGGCCATATAACAAATGTCAGAAGGGCCCTTCCGTCAGCACTAATGTACTCAATATTAGTTAACACAGTGCGCTTGACATCCGCACCTCTACTACCTTACCGATCGTTTTTGCTAACTAATACTTTAGCCCCGTTAAGCATTTTCAACATGACTCTAGTTTCGTCCATACTATACACTTTTTCTGGCAGCATGCGTGGACCCTGGGGTACCTGGCCAATCATATTTAATAACTCTTCTATCTTCTTGTGTACGTTATTCCTGTGGTAATTCCAACCTATTGATCCAGCCATTCTCGCCTAGAGTCTGGTGTGGTGCTTCTCAAAAGCTCGTGGCCAGCTCTTCCTGGGACGCTTGATAGACTTTTTCGTGGACCGCTAACGGTTTATGCTGAACGTTAGCGAGCGAAGGTACTTTACTCGCACAGGTTACTCGAGGCTAGAAATCAGTAGCAAGGGCTTTAAAAGCGCCTTCTTCTCTCAATTCAAGTAACTACTGCTGACTCTGAGCCTGCTCTGTTCGCGAGTGTCGTCCAAGCCTACGGTGAATCAGAGCTGAGACAGGGACATTGTCATGCTCTGATAGAGCAGCACATGTGTCACGCACAGTTGGTTAGAGGTTGTGCGAGTGTCTGGCTGGCTGGGTCCATGTTCGTGGTGGCAGTGACTGAGGGATACCTCCTCGAGCAAGAAGCCAACAGAATCCAATAGGATTAACAACCAATGTGCTTCCAAGAATAGCTGGCAACTGTACGCTTGAGCAGGGCCCAGTAGAGGCTTCTAGAATCTACACCACCTTTTCAGATCTTTTAGCATAACGCAGTTATACATTGTAGTTAGTCAGGTCGCTAAAGGTTTGCAATCCTGCTGCGTTAGAGTTTCCAACCCTCTTGCTAGACGCGAAGGGCTAATACACCGAGCCGGAAAAACTCGGGGTGTACCTAAACGAAAGATGCATATCTTCACTAGTTAAATCGCTGTAGCTTCCTTAGTTCACTGCAAACTGTATAGCAACTCAGAGTAGCTAGGCTACACTTCTATGAGAGGCAGATCAGGGTATTAGTTATATTGTTATGGCTCTAATGCTCAACACGAAAGACTCATTTGTGTAGCTAAGATTGCTGTAATTTTGCTATTCAAGGCTTGCAATATATGGAGCTGTATCTAGTTGAGGAACATACAAAGGTCTGGTTACTTGGATCCAAGAGTTCCCGAAGGTTAGGTGCGACGTGCTTGAACAATGTTGGTGGTTCTGCGCATAGGGATGTTCGACCTAAGGGATGTATGTACAGTACAAGCTACACCACCAGTAACTGTTGGCGAAGTGTCTAACCAACGTCAACTAACTAACTAGTATATCACGTAGAAGCATCAAGTTTACTCACAAGCTATACCACTACCAGCCATTGGCTAGCAAAGCAATTAAGAAATACTTCGTAAGGCATAATAAAAAAAGATCAAGAACATCAGAGAATCCTCGGGAATCAAGGCCAATTCTGCTCTTGGCTAAATCTGTTGAGGATCACGGTTACGCCATTTGCCAAAACGACTGTTTAGTTTTTCGATAGAAGAGTCAGCATGTGATAAGATGTTTTCTCTTGTTTGAGAACCTTTTTTTGCCAAGGGTAATCGATGAAAAGGTGGTAGTTAATTAGTTTTGTCGAGACAGTGCTGTGTGTTATGGGTTGTTTTCAGGGTGGAGGCTTTCTCGTTAGATCGGTATACCCGTTATACCTAGGCACACATTTCCATTCATGGAAAAAAAGCATGGTTTTGTTGTATGGTTTTGAGCATTTGTAACAAGATTTTACATCTGGTTCACGCTTCTGGCTTGTGATGTACGTTGTCTTGCGAGCCATCGTAGTATCTCTATAATTTACTCGCATTATCAATATTCGGAAATTGAATTATGCACGCGACATAGCGAGCTATTTATTGATTCCGATTACAATAGGGAGTTATTACTGTGGCTTTTATCAGCAGTTGGCGTTTGGAATTATAGCGTTAGTGCTATTTCTATCAAGGCAGACGCATAGTAATCTATTTAAGCAAAACAGGCCTCTCTTTGCACCTATAGATCTCAATGGCGCACCCAGTATCTATCAGAACGTGTTACCGCACTAGGCTATAAGCCGTTTTTTCCTTGTATCCCAATAGGTGCAAACTCCAATTTCTTCAACTGGTGTACCGGAACCCGGGCCACAAGACTGCTACGGCCTTCCCACGCTACAAGAGAGGCTGACCGCGATAAGATTCGATCGTGACTGTAAGCATTTTGAAGGATGTCAGCTCAGCATGCAATACAAACTGTGTCGCAGTAGTGCGACTGCTTTCCAGTAAGCAGCTTACGTCCCTCATCTAATGGAGTGCTTGCAGTAGGCCAGCTGACCGCAAGCAACGAATCTGGCACCACACACGTTAGTCACGAAGATGTTCCTTTACGAAACTAAGAAGTTTCTGGATTGAAGCTTACTTGACTAAGAGAGCGATTTAGCTATCGGAAGCTTGCGATGGTGAGAGTAACACTTATTTAAATAAGGTGTATCAAATTGAAACGGAACAATACTGGCAGGGGAAAAATAGACGTCATCTTACGGCTATACATCTAATTTTATATATATTAAGGCAATTTTCTGTAGGTAATTTCATATACGTTAAAAGTTTTCATATTTGAATTGGAATTATTATAGGTACATATAATATTGATTGCTCTATGCGTGGCAGCAGTCGGCGTCGAACATTCACTCTCGTGCCATGATGACTTACGACGAGAATACCACCTCCAGCGCTCAAGGTAAAACGATAGCTCTTCAAGTTAAGTTTCCTGCCAACTACACAAATGCCTCAAAGACACGGACGTGAGAAATCTGGAAACCCTATTCAACAAATAGGTAACGTACTGGATAAGCGAGTTGTCCACCCCACCAAGTTTGCGCACGCAGTTTAACTCTATGATTAGCTTTCTAGACGCCCAGTGCTAAAGAGCAGTTTGGTAACAAGGAGAGATGTAGGGCAGCTAGGCTACCTTTCAGCGAGCTCTCTTAGGAGAAAGGAGATAGCGCCAATAAAATCAAATTCTTCTTCTTTGTTTTTCTTATTTTTCCTTCTAGCCTTCTTTGCCTAGATGCCACTTTCTTGTTCGTATCCTCGTGCTCGTAATAAAAGCTAGAATAGCTTCTATACCACTCGTGTTATGGAATAAGAGTGGGAGTCTGAGTATTTTCTGGGTTAGAGTCTTTTTAAGCTGGTTTCTTTCTACGCTGTAGAAGCCGCAGTATAGAAGTAAGTGCTCTACAGTTTGCGGTCGCCCGCATCTGCAGAGTTCGCATTCTCTTTTCTTAAATCTCTTTAAGTAGGCGTTAAAGTATCCGTGTCCTATTTTAAGAGAGTAGAAAGAGCTTAAAATGTCTCTTTTTGTGCCTCTTGGGATTGCTAGTTGGTTTTTGAGCTTTAGATTAAAGATAGCTCCATAGCTAGTCTTCTTCTCTCTTGCTATTTCCCTATACTTTCTCCACTCTTCTGCTTGGCTAGCTCGTTGGAGGAGCTTTATCTTAGTGCCTAGGAAGGCTAGGCTTGTTTGTGATTTTTTTGGGGTTTGCTTTGTGGCTTCCTTTGCTAAGGAGTCTGCTTTTTCGTTTCCTTCTATATCTGTGTGGCCGGGAGCCCATTTTAAGAAGATCTTTGCTTTTCTGTTTCGGATAGCTTTGGCAGCCTTTTGGCACCGAATTACCCACTGTTGGCCAGGCTTATCTGATAGACTTTGGAGCCTATAGATGGC